CAAACGACACCTAAGGTTATGAGTACCAAAAGACTTTTGACCTAACGATAATGAGCGACTTTCTTAATCGAAATATCATGGAGAGAGATCATGAGTTTAAGTCTTATTAGAAATATAGGTGATAAATTATGACTATATTAGTTTGCCGTTCTAAAAAGAAAATAATTATCTAAAAACATTAAAACAATGTTTAAATATTTAAATATTGTGAAGGAAATATCTAGTACATAATCAAGACTCTTCCATAAAAATCAATAAATAATTTCATAAACAACTCACCTATCATGTTGAACACAACCAATCGAAATCTCATAATAGATATTATGTGGATCATAATGTGTCTCTAAACCAATTCAATGGTTTTTTTTTTTTTTCTTCAAGGGAGAGCTTTGAGAATCTGGAAGACTGGATCTATGATGTATGATCCATAAATGACGGGTGTAGAGGTAAATATCTTGCATCACATAGAGGCCATATGTATAATGACAATTAAAGTTTGGTTTGGAAAAGAATGTCAAAGTTTGTGATTTAAGAAAGTTTGTATTTCAACCAGTTTGACTACCCATAATTGACAAGCTCCTAAAAAAACTCAAACTACATTATGTTCGTGTAAGTTGCCCACCCACGATTTTATTAATATGTTGAAAAATACTAAAATGAAATGCATTGTGGTTTTGAAAAAAATAAAATTTCATAATAAATTTCGTGTGTGATGTTTAAAAGACTCCATATGGTTCACCAGATTAGTTCCTTTTTGCATCTGCTCATTGGGTGAAGTGGATGATTAGGTATGAACTATTTGGATATTCGCATATTAGATATAACTTATATAGCATTTTAGATTACATAATAAAAACTTAAAACTTATAAAACAAATTTTTCTATATCTTTTGATAACGCGTCAAACAATACTCCACTTTTGGACAATTTTAGATAAAATATAAACCGGTTTGCTACTTAGACTTTTTTTTATGGCCTTCTAATTTGTATATCAATGTATAAGAAACTACCTTAAGGTTATGTTGAAGAGATTTAATGGTTAAAAGGGTAGACCAAACGATGAGGATGAAAAACGTCGTCATTTGCTATTTGTCATCTTGATAAGGATGAACCCAGTTCTGAAATCGAACAAAATCTAATAAAACCAAGAAGTTGAGAAACAAATTTATAGATATGAAGGAATCCAAAACCAAACCGAATACATATCCGGGTCCTAATCAGTTCTGGTTTCGGTTCTATCTAGTACTTTGCTCACTCCTAGTTGGTAGGGTCCAAAATTGGAACCAAAAACCAAGAACCAAATTTATGGATATGAAGAAACTGATAACTGAACCGAATTACATATTCGGTTATCAATTGGTTTCGGCTCGACCGACAACTCAACATGTATTTTGCTCACCCCTACATCTTGATATTGATGGTTGTGTCCTAATTTCAATCATGCATAGTTGGTCCGCGAGCAACATGGAATCATATAGATCAATCATGCATATTATGTATTGAAATCTCTCATATTTTAAATACATATTATGATTACCACTACAAATTTTTTATAATGTCATTGGTTTACATAGTTTTATTGAATTCCCAACATGTTATTTGATATGACTTTTTAGTCCGACTTTTATGTTAGATGTGTGTCTTAATGTTAAACGTGATGCAAAATGAACTCGGTATATTGATCTGGTATATTAGCAGAGATCGGGATATAAGAGATAGTTCTTGGTGATAAGATTGTGATTTGTTCGAAAAAAATCTTACATATGTTTTCCACACTTTTATGCTTGTGATTTGTTCGAAAAAAAATAATATGTTGATTGTCTTTTCTAAAATTTCATATTCATTGTCCTCAATTACCCAAATATCTCCTCATCAAAATGTATCTCACAACTACTAACCTAAATACCTGATTAGTACGAGCTTGGTCAAAGGCCGTTGACTTTGATAATTTTGCTAGTGTTTCGGGGACCTCACGGTATTTTATTAGAAAATAAGGTGAAAAATGTATGTACTTCATAGTAGAGGGGTCCAAGTGACTACTGCTTTTGAAAACACATAGACGAAATCGGAATAATGGAGTGTGCCGCGAAAGGAAGTCCACGGCGGTGCTCGGGACCAGCTAACCGCCGATGCGGCGGTTGTGGTGCTGTTTTCTATTGTTCCGTCTCTCATCAGGTTTTTCATATTCTCCTTAAATTCGAGCACATACACGAAATTTATTATCATCTCTAGTAAAAACCCTAGATTCGCACATTTTCCGATACTGAAAATTGTTTGATCACTTTTTTTTACCGCTTTAAATTGATGTATTACCATCTTTATTGCAAGCATCAACTAGAAGCTGAACGTAGTAATGCATCAAATCCCAATTTTAATCTGTGGATCACCTTCACTTGATGCCTATTTTCAGTTAATTACCTTAATTTGATGCTGATGACTTGTTGTGCTGATTTTGTTTAAGACATCACATTGGAGAGTTCACAAAGAAGAATGTGGAAGACTCAAACAACAGATGTGCCGTGTGGTGCTGCTAAATGACTTCCCTTTTACTTTTTCCCGGGAAGCTACTTATCAGGTAATCACTTTATGCAGTTGGATTTGTGAGACCAAAAGGGCCAAATTTTGAATTCGAGATTTATATGAACTATTGAAAACAAAGAACCATGGTTGGGAATATATTTTTTCAAACATTCTGACACGTCTTGTATCAATTCTGGTTTGGAAATGTTAAAACTCTGACCTCAAAAGCTAGAATGTTATCTTGATCAATGGTGCTTCAAGGTTTTGGGTAATTTGTATCGAGTTACTAAGTGTTGCAGGTTTGTGGAAAGGTGGAGACTAGATGCTCATTCTTGGATAAACAGGGGATCCACTGTGTAGGATTCTGGATATGTGAATGTAGCTGTGGGGCTTCGATTACTTCCTCAGATCATTTGAGGTTCCTTTTTGATCCTTCTTTTCTCCTGATGTTTCAATACTTATGGGATCTCATTGTTTATCCATTTAATTGGAAGGTATGACAAGGGCTGGAATCTCTCAAGTAAATTATGCCCTTGTAAAGGTATTGTTGTAAATTTTCATTGGTGTAGTTTCAGATCATTTATACTTACTTCTGAAAGTGAAAGCTACTCTACACAAACTGCAAAATGCAGGGCCTTTGTCTATGTTAACAAAGAAATTAAGTAGTTGGAATGAGTATTATGAATGGAGAGGCATCCCGTTAGATTCTCCTGTTGCTCTGCTCCTTCACTGGGTAATGTATATTTTATAGAATGTCTGTGTTAGGTGTAGTGTGTGTGGTTGCATATTTGCATATCGCCCATTTAAGCCATAAAATTTTACTATTTTGGTTTTATAATTCCAGCCATTGACCATATATCAAGCAATTCAAATTGCTTCTGTGAAACAGTTAATCCCTGAACCTACTGATGAACTGTGCATACACTACCTAGGTATTTTCATGACTTTTAGAACCTGATGTAACTTATTATGTTAAAATAGTGTTCTTTTGTGGAATCTTGATTCTGATTAATGGATTGGTTTTGTGAAGGGCCAGAAAGGGAAGTTTATCAACTTGCTGTATTTGGGGAGTTGCATGCTTTACTTCCTGGAGTCCGAGTGCATATAGATTTTGTTGGACCTGCTATTCCACATGACAGGTCAGCAATTCAGCATACATGTTTTGAGATTCAGCTTTTTGAGAGTAAACTAAAGTAGGGCAAACAGGGATGGTGAGACAATTACTCTTTGTAGCTATGCACATTGCATTGAGGCAAATTGCACATGTAAATCTGGAACTTCCAATAAATCTTCATCAATTACAATAAAACTTCATTCAGGTCTTTATCACAACCGCTACACACAACTCACCAAGGTTATATTATATATTCTTACTTTCACTAATATTTTAAATGATTGACGATTAGAAGGACATTTACGTCTTTTTGCACCGACAACAGATTGATAGTGAGTCCAAGTCCTATCCTGTTCCACCTTTTTGGGTAGGACAGAAAGTTGTACTTTTTGTCCCATTGACATCAATCATATTCTGTACTGTACTGTACTATACTATTCTGTTTGACAAAAGGGGTCACTTCTTTATGGACAGGAATTTATTCCTGATTTAATAATTGCTCCAAATGCTGGTATTGCGGCCTACAAAAGCTGGCTACCAACTATCGTATGTTTTTTTTATTTATTAATTTTTGTGTGGTATGTTTATGCATTTATTGTTTTTTTATGACTGAAATTGACAATGGACTTTCAGGAGCTGATAAGAGAAATAGAAATCCCAACCATTTTCTCTGATTATTGTGAAGAAGCTTGTCATCTTGCAGCTAATTGTATAAGCTCTGCGACTGGTAGTCCACCCACAATACCTGTAAGTTTTGTTACCGGTTGAAACAAAAAATGGTTGTATGATTCGTGTCATTTGTATATATATATTTTTTAAAAATATTGGTCCAAACAAGGTAAAAGATTGTTGGATAAGTATGTATTTAAGATTTTCTTATTTGTAGAAAAAGAAATAAAACATTGATTTTGGTGATTTGTAGTAAAAAGATTGTTTGGTTTTGGGACAGGTTCAGTTGAACCCGTTTAGGCAGCCTTTGGCTGTTGAAGACTCTGCTCTGATTCTTCCTTGCTACTCGAATTGCTTTCTTTTTGGGATATGAAGTCGGATTTTTTTGTTTACTTTAGTTAGCAACCTCTATTTTCCGAAATAATGAAATGTGAAATATGTTTTGTTTTGTGTGAAATGAGACATATTTGTAATGGATGAAAATTACTCTATGTTTTTATTCTACATAGAATGTAAATCGGCGTAAAATAAGTTGCTATTTGATGCATCTAAAAGGTTTATTTATTTATTTATTTATTATATAATTAGATTAGATAGGGAATTTCGAGTTATCCAAAAACATGCACTAGTTCTACACTTCTACATATGCTTATTTTCCTTTTTTTTTTTTAATCCAAAAATAAACTCACCTCATTTATTTTATTTTATTTTATTATTTTTTTTTCTTCTTCTTATTATCATTATTATTATTTCATTTTGTTTGTATTTGACAGCCTAATTAAAACCCTACATTTTACCTGATAAGCTACATGGTAATAGCTGATATAAAGTAATAATATAGTGATTGGTATAAAATAGCTGATAAATTAGATGACAAATGTAAAATAATATAATAATATTTAACATAATATAAAAACATTTAAAATTCATCGGGAAAATCTTCATAAGCTCTTTCAAATAATTTTTTAGAAACACCATGTTGTAATAAAATCAAAAACTAGGTTGGCATATACATATCAACCAAAGTCTTTTTTTAAACGACACGCCAAAAATAATGTTAATACAATACTTATAAACTTTTCTCTTTTTAGCAATGTTTCTAAAAAAGCAACCACCATCTTTATTTTCCTTTTGGCCCAAAGTAAAAAAAATATTTCTACATCCTTTTATAAAGTTTTTGGAGATACAAATTGCAACCCAAATCTATATTTCTCTTATTGAATACTTATTGTATTGTTTGATGTAGTCATTAAATATTTCTGAAGAAGTAAATAAATTTAAACATTATTACATTCATTAAAAGTTCAAAAGCTTAGAAATTACACAGATCTTTGAAATCTATATTATTGAACTTCACTTATTCCGAGATTTATGAATTATGAGGTGATAGAATGAAGCAAGAGCATTCTGCGAGGACCATACTGTAAAACTTGAAAATTATAGTTCCTAGTCTGAAATTACAGACAAATTAGCACAGTATCTCCTAAATCAACCGATCAAAGTCTACACCTCGATACTCACGACGCCTTACAAACTTTGACTTCACCGTAAAAATCAACCCCCAATTCATCGATCTCATCAGCCAAATCACTCCCAATCATTCAATGGATTAAAATCATCAACATACACTTTACCAATTTCACAAATTATTTAGGATTCCACAACTTCATCCTCCAGCTTTGTTGATACTAACAAGGATGTGGTTATGGAGGGTGCTGTGTATGCTAATGTTAGGTTTAGGTTCAGTTTCGGAATTCGGTGAAGCTTTGAAGTTGCCTTTTAGAGTTAACGATGTCTTACCTGTTCTACCACGTCAAATTTCGTGGCCTGTTATGAACAGCTTTGGTAAGGCGGTGGATTTGTTGCCGTCGTTCGTCGGGACGATTTCTCCGAATAACGGGACACTTCAGTGGAAAGGTGCTTGTTTCCATGGCAATGAAGCTCGTATGGACTTCACTGAAGGGGATGATCGTGGTTTGGGAGGCGGGATCATCCATCTCAAGGTTCCGACTCTTTCCTATGTCTTTAATTGGCGCAAAATCAGTTTGTTTCCTTTCATCCTTATTTTTCCTGTGTTTACTTAAGTTTTTAGCTTGTTTCTAGAGTAGTTTTGAATTTCGAATCAACCAGATAGGTCAATTTCCCCCCTTTTAGTTTGATCCAAATGAATAAGGATCCTATTTGTGTTGATTCTGATCATGTTCTTGCTTTTGTTTTTTATATTCTTCAGACCTCTGAAGCCCACAGTTGGACATGTATGGATCTCTATGTTTTCGCAACACCCTACAGGATTACCTGGGACTACTACTTCGCAGCAAATCAACATACTTTGCCATTTGAGTCCTGGGAGGAACCTGCAGAGTTAGAATATGTAATACTACACCCACATCAAATTCAGATTTATAATCCTTTTTGGTCTGATTCATGACTTCATTCCACTTTACAATCTTCCATTATTGATATTCAGGTAAAGCAACATGGAGTATCTGTATTTCTGATGCCTTCTGGAATGCTAGGAACACTGCTTTCATTAGTTGATGTTTTGCCTCTGTTTGCCAACACAAAATGGGGCCAAGATGCAAACCTAAAATTTCTAAAGACTCACATGGGTGCTACTTTTGAGACACGATCTAAGCCATGGCGTGCAACTATCAATCCAGATGATGTTCATTCCGGTGATTTTCTAGCTGTTTCAAAGATCCGTGGAAGATGGGGTGGCTTTGAAACATTGGAAAAATGGGTCACAGGGGCATTTGCTGGTCATACAGCAGTTTGTATGAAGGACGATTTAGGAAATCTTTGGGTTGGTGAATCAGGACACGAGAATGAAAAGGTAAAAAGACTAAATTACCATTTTACCCTCACATTCCAAAAAAACAAATTTCACAGGGGTGATGCATTCTGGAGCATGGTTATATTGTAGGGTGAAGAAATTATTGTGGTGATTCCATGGGATGAATGGTGGGATTTGGCACTTAAAGATGAATCAAACCCACAAATTGCTTTGTTGCCTTTACATCCTGAGATTCGTGCAAAATGGAATAACACTGCAGCATGGGAATATGCTTTGAGCATGTCTGGGAAACCTTATGGTTATCATAACATGATTTTTAGTTGGATTGATACCATTGGTGACAATTATCCCCCACCTATTGATGCTCACTTGGTGTGTTTCCTTCACCCACTTTTGTATTTTTAACTTTTATATTTTTTAATTTATAATTTCTTCTTTTAAGTATCTGAAATACATTTTGCATATTTCAGGTGATTTCTGTCATGTCTATGTGGACTAGGATGCAGCCTGCTTATGCTGCCAATATGTGGAATGAAGCTCTAAATATGCGTCTTGGGACAGAGGTAATTGAGTTTGCCCTAATTTATACGAAGATTAATGTGTGTGTGTGTGTGTGTGTGTTTGTGTTTAAGGTTATTTATTTTGGTTTTAGGGTTTGGATTTGTATGGGATATTGGAAGAGACAGAAAAGCGAGGCATATCTTTTGATGAATTGATGACAATTCCTGAGAATGATGAATGGGTGTATAGTGATGGAAAGTCTACAACATGTGTTGCTTTTATTCTTCAAATATATAAAGCTGCTGGAGTTTTTGGGGCTTTTGCAGATTCTATTCAAGTCACCGAGTTCACTGTAAGAAATTCAAATTTATAAGGAAAAATTATTTCTACTTAAGCTATTAAACATGGCTCTGTGTTTTACAGATTCGTGATGCTTATATGCTGAAAATCTTTGAGAATAACCAAACACGGCTTCCAAATTGGTGCAACAATGGTGATGATAAGCTTCCATTCTGCCAAATACTTGGGAAGTATCGCATGGAACTACCTTTGTACAACACCTTACACCCATATTCCAATATGAATGAAAATTGCCCTTCTCTCCCTCCAACTTATGAGAGGCCTACTCATTGCTAATATTCTAAAAAAAATTGTAAGCTCCTTTTCGTAAAATTGTCATGTATGTTTGATTTGGAGGATATTGTCATTTAGACATTTCTGTATGTATGTAAACATGCTAACGATATATACAAGGGAGTACGCGTAAGCATAACTAGGTATTCTTCTACTTGTTATTGTTTGTGTATAGTGATGGGAGTTTTATGACATATTATCTATTATATTTTTCTTGCTGTTCAAAGAACAAAAAAAATCCAACAAGAATTTGATAAAATAATAAAATATCCTTGTCTTTTTGTTTGGAAAAAAAAAAAAAAAAATCAAATGTTCATATTCAAAGTTATTTAAAATATTTTATGAAATTTAGTACCTCTTGATTAATCAACACCCGACAATTGCTTGGTAATAGAAGTTTTTCGTTTCATCTTTGAAAATTCATCAACCACCATAATTAAAAAGGTAGGTATATTAAAAGTCTAAGAATCTTCTTTAAGGTGTGATCCTCATTTAAACTACAATTCATAATAGAAGATTCTAAATTGGCATAACAATTTCAAAGTCAAAAGTATACATTTTTCCTCGTTTCTTCGTTTATTTCGACCTGAAGCTCATATTAGTATTATGATTACTTATAATGAAAAGTACAGGTGAACATATGTTATTATCGTATATCGCTTAATTATATTCGTTCGTAAGTAGTAATCGTTAATCAAATCCAAAATATGTATACAATCAAGTTCTTTATTTAATTAAACCTACAAGAATGTTTCAAAACAAAACTTTTTAACTAAATAATTTAATTTTAATTTTAATAATTAAAATAATTAAAAAAAAGTATTCTCACCAACGACCTGGTACATTATTTTCGTACTAGACAAAGATATCGATATTTTTTATATTATATTGTTTCTACCAACGACCTATTCTGGCCGTATTTGGTTAACAAAAGTCAAGGTGTAGACATTAATATTAAAATCGAAGATAACAGTTTTTACAGTTTTATGTGAACATGTCAAGTCCTAAATTCAACTTCTGAATAAATATTGTTCTAATAAATACATATAGATGGATCATATGCGTAAATAGAAATATTAAGTACGACAATACTATTTAAAAAAAAAAAGATATACACACGAGTATGTTTTCTTTTAATGATGTTAAAATCGATTTAAAAGATGCGTGTGACATTTAAATGCCATTAAGAAATTATTGAGATAACTTGTGACCCTTGCGAACTCCTTTTATTTCAACTGTTCAAAAGTCTCTTGCCATTTTATCAAATTGTAACTTTAGTTCTAGAATGTTGTATTCAATGACGCATGCATCAAAATTTTATCAAATTGCTCGAGTTTAAACCCGGAACGTTCGAGTCAAGCATTAATAAAATCGAGTTAATAAGAGCATTTTTATAAAGATTAATCGTTTTAGAGAATATCTATTTAGTTATATTATTTTTTCGGTAAAGCCTATCTTTATAAAGCATCCCAATCCAAAAGCTTTTCTCAAGTTCTTTTTAATAACCATATACTTATCATTTTATATGAAACATATTATAAACAGATGTTTCAAACATATATATATATATATATATATATATATATATATATATATATATATATATATATATATATATATATATATATATATATATATATATATATATATATATATATAAAAGATGATTAACGAGATAAAATGAAAAGTGTTTTTAAGTAGATGTGGTAAAATGTAATATCACAATAGATAATTAAGTGATTGAAAAATATTAAGTGGTTGATAAAAGTAACAGTTGTGAACTAGTTTTAACCAAGAGTTCACAATTATACAATCAAATTTAAGTAATTAACCAAGAACTTTAACTAATTACATAAATATTTCAATAGCAAACTCTAGTTATTAGTATAGGTAGAAACAGGAGAACAATTTTAGTTAGAAAGTGAAAGTGATTTTGAATGTATGACGAAATTGAGCCACATTCTTATATTTATCGTGGATGTGCTTAACTCATACTCGTATTCGGTATTCCTATGCTTCTTTGTGTATTCTCCACCTTAGCCCTCCGAGCTTCATGCACTTATCACTTAATCAACTACATTCCAAATCCATCAAAGTTGCACATTCACTCTCAAAACAAATTAACATGCCTTAATAATCCATATTATATTTTCAAAATAGAAACCTAATAGTAGGTTGCTATTTTTAAAAGTAAAAAAATATGCTCCAATAAATGATTTTAAGCGGTTAATGAATATTTGTAGGTCATAAAAAAACTCATATTTGAGATGTTACAAGTATTTAATTCAATTTTTTTTGTTAAACATGTTAGATATAATGTAAGAGTACTCATAAAATTTAAATATATTTTATTTTATTTTTTTATTTAAATTCAGTCGTTACATAGCATTTCGGAATCAAAAATGCTACATTACACACATGTTCTCCATATTTCAAGCATGTCAAATAAAGAGTCCAAAATGTAAAAATGTCCGAAATATCATATTTAAGAACTCTTGAATCCTGATATCACATCTCACTTATTTAACTGATTTTCAAAGAAAGTGTTTTTTTTTATCAAGAATATCATATTTCAAACATCATGTTCATATAAAAAATTAAGGTTATTAGTTTCATACTCAAATAATTATGTGGTATTTTTATGAATGTCTAAAGATATTTTTATATAAAATAAAACCCAAAAATTATTAATTTTACATATTTTACGAGGAAGATTTTTTTGAGGATTAAAGAAAGGGATTTTCTAATATGTGCCCTAAGGACACATATAAGAAGTATTAATTAATCACAATTATTATCATAATTAAATGTGAAATGCATTAATTATAGAGATCATAAATGAATTTTATATTTAATTATGGTAATATTTCTTATAATCAATGTGTTTAACATTTAATTATGATAATTATTGTGATTAATTAATACTTCTTATATGTGCCCTTAGAGCATATATTAGAAAATCTTTAAAGAAAAAGGAATTTCCAACCGGAATAATGACTTGATCAAATCATCTAACTGAAATTATGTTCATTTTGTACATGGAACTTGTCTTACATTATAATAATACCAAAAATAATTCAATGTAATTATGAAACTATGGTATTTATTTTGAAATAAAGTAAATTACTGAAATCGTTCTATGGTTTGATCAAAAATTCACGATTGATCCCTAACTTTTCTTTTGCACTCGGATCGTCTCTGTGGTTTGATTATGTTGCGTTTTTCGTCTCTTACATATATAAATAAAATTAGGGATCAAACATGCAATTTTGATGAAACCATAAAGATAAAAATCACAATGAAATTAAACCATAGAGAGGATGCGAATAAAAAAAAATAAAGACAATTTTGACCTCTTTTAATAATTTACTCTTTGAAATATAACTCGTTTGGGTTTTGACGAAAGAAATGTTAAAATGCGAGTAGACAACGACACTCATTATTTTATTTTATTTTCTTTAAAACGATTCCCACAACAGTCCTGGCCGCCCTTCTCCTTTCTTTCTTCCTTCCGACTTCTTTTGACATATTCCTTCTTCTAATCTCCATAAATACAAAACTGAAAACTTCATTCCACAGATTCATACTAACACAATGAAGATCGCTGCTCTTCTCTTCCTTTTCTCTGTTTTCTCCTCCTCAATCACCGCTTTTCCACATTTTTTTCCCAATGTTTCATCCATTCCACCGTCGTTATTACCAAACATCACCGCCGGAGCTTGGGATAGCTTCAACAATCTCTCCGGCTGCCATTTGGGTCAGAAAGTTCCAGGTATTTCCAAACTCAAAAACTACTTTCATTACTTCGGATACATCGGCAACATCAGCAAAAACTTCACCGACGACTACGACGACGCACTTGAAACCGCGGTGAAAAATTACCAGCTCAATTTCAATTTAAATGCTACCGGCGAACTCGATGAATCCACGGTGAAGCAGATCTTAAAACCGAGATGTGGAGTTGCGGATATTGTTAACGGATCTAGTACTATGAACTCCGGTAAAGCCGCGTCGATGACCGGACATACAGTTGCTCATTATTCCTTCTTCCCTGGGACGCCGCGGTGGCCGCGGTCGCGACGTGATTTGACATACGCGTTTGAGCCGAGAAATCAGTTAACCGATGACGTTAAGCGTGTTTTCACTAACGCCTTCGCTCGGTGGTCGGAGTGGACACCGTTGACGTTTACCGAAAGCAATAACTACAACACCGCCGACCTTAAGATTGGATTCTACGGTGGAAACCACGGAGACGGAGAAGATTTCGACGGAGTTTTGGGAACATTAGCTCATGCATTTGCTCCGCCGAGAGGATTACTACATCTTGACAGCGACGAGACTTGGATTATCGATGATGTGTTCGCGTCTGGATCTCCGTCGGCGATGGATCTGGAATCAGTGGCGGTGCACGAGATTGGACATCTGTTAGGTCTCGGACATTCGTCGGTGGAAGAAGCGATCATGTTTCCGACGATATCGTCGGGAATACGGAAAGTAGAGCTCGCGAGAGACGACGTTGAAGGCATTCAGGTATTGTACGGTACAAACCCTGATAGCAATAGTACAACAGGACCGAGCTTCGGCGAGAGGGAAATGAGTGGGGCCCACGTCGTGTCGTCTGTAGTGGTCCAGATCATATTTTTGGCCGTTGGATTAACATTATTTGTTTTGTAAAATTTTTAATATTCTTTTTATTTTATTTTATTTTAAAATTCCCAATGATTATTCCGGGTTATTGAGGAGGATAGTTGTATTTTGACTATTGTTTTTGTATATTCTCTGTTATTATGTAGTATTATTGTAAAATGAAATATTGTTTTCTTTTAGAGGATATCTTATATCTGTAATCTTTTTTTAAGTTTTATAAATAATTAATATACTAAATATAATTATATATTTTTTTAATAAATAAAGGTTTGAATGTTTAGGAATATTTTAAACAATTTTAGACCTAGAAGTTATACGTTTCATTTTATATGTTTTTTTCTTAGTATGTTTTCAATGTCTTCACACGTTTTTTCTTTGATTAATTTCTTATCGCATAAGTAATCATGCCAACAAAAGAGACCCTTTTTGCTGCCTTATATTTCCTGAAAAAGGTTCTTGGTGTTTTAATAGAAAACAAAATTTAGGTGTGGTTTAGATTTTTGTTATAGAATCAGATCGAATGTTTTCCAAAATATCATATAAAAAACAAATAAACTGAAATAGACAAATAGCTAGTGTAAAAACAAGTAAACTGAAATAGCCATGATTCTAAAAAGCGTGTCATGGCAGGCGTGCCATGGTGCGAGGCGTGGTGTAGCCGTTACGAAAACGTCCAAGGCGGGTTTGTGAAGCGTGACGCCCAAATAACGTGTCAAGGCGCGCCTTATCGCGTTATGGCGCGAGTTTTTTTCAAAGTGCGGGTTTTTTTTGTTTTGTTTTTTTTATCAGACCTAAAACAAATGAGTTTTTGTTAACTTTGTTCTATTAGATATTAATATAACACTTCTAAAAATTTCATATATTTGATAAAATTCAATAATTATATGATTTATATCTTTTAATGTATATAATATAGTCACGCCTTGAAAAACGTCATGGCTCGCCAAGGCTTGTCATGACTTAACTTTTACCTTACCGCCAAGTCATGCCTTAATTAGAACCTTGGAAATAGCTATTAGAGTAGAAACATGTACTTTATAATATGTAGATGAATTATTGTTGAGGTCAAACCTTATGAAATAGCTATTAGAGTAGAAACGTGCACTTTATAAGGGGTGATTAGGATTACTTTTTTAGCTTAAAAAGTAACTAAAAAAAAGAAGATTTTTTGAGTTGTAGCTTTTTTTAAAAATAAGTTTTAAGATGTGTTTGGATTAGTTTTTAAAAGAATAAATGCTAAAAATCCAAAAGTAATCAAAAGTATTGTGACTTTTAAAACCATAACTTTTTCTTTTTGTCAAAAAGTCATTCTAAAATGATTTTTATAATTGTCAAACAACTTTTTAAATTTTTAATTTTTAAAAAAAACCAAAAGTCCAAAAAATCATTTTAAAAGTTATATCAAAGACCCTCTAAACTGATTTGATTGAACAAATGTGGATCAAACTAATGTATACAGAGCGTACCAATAGGCAGAACAATTTGGATGACAGTTCAGGACCTCAAATCAGCTTAAACCGACCATAAGTGTATGTATATTAGTTTGTATTGTTATCTATCCCAACGATAATATGTGTTGCCCTCCCTCCTTGAGGTCAATGGTTCAAGTCCCGTCTAAGACATATGCGACATTAGGAATAGTTTAGGATATGTTAGATTTATCGTTCGAAAAAAAAAAGATAGCCCATATCTATAATATAGCCTAGTCTATCCATGTAGCCCATTTTATTTTGTATCTTGTATATAATTCCATTATCAATGCAAAATCTTCGTTACAAGAAATTAATCCATTTACATGAAACATCTCACAAATAAGACCCAAAAATTTCATTTTAAAATTTATAAAACGGTAACCCAAAACATTGTCATGCAACCAGGGTGGATCAAAGTGTATCACTACATCATAAAATATTAGAATAATCATATGAATGCAGAACAAAATAGTGTGTGCACTGCAATCACCCCGATTTCTTTCCCTTTGCACCTGAAGTACCTGAAACATAAATTGAAAACCGTAAGCATGAAGCTTAGTGAACTCTAGAGTGTTAGTAGCCCAGGTTGAGGGATGTGATGAGGACTTCCTTGTTTGTTCTTGTTTGATTGGGCTTGGAGGTCTGAGTCACGACCCGAAGACCTGGTAGGATCAGTCAATTTTTGTTGGCCCAAGTGTTGTTGTTGGTTAGTGGATCGGGGGTAGGCCCATGTGTCATTGTATGTTAGTGGATCAAGGTTAAGCATGAGTGTTTTCAGTAGATAGCTAAACAAGGTTGTCAGAGCCACGTAGGAGCATGACATAGTTTAGTATGTGACTAGTTGGTCCTTGTCGCGATGGTTCACTTATGTGCGGGATTAGCATGACGACGTTTGGAAGAGGAGGTTTTGAGCCAATCAAATCTACAAGTTTTCGGTTAGTTTGGTTGATGTGAGAGGTTGCATCATGAAGTGGAAGCGAGAGCTAATTTCGAGGACGAAATCTAATTCAAGTGGAGGAGAGTTGTAAAATCATGTTTCCCGTCATTTCTTATTTCATGGTTGTGGGCTGGAAGTCGATTGTGTAAAAGCTTTGGGCCTTAAGGAGGTAATGATGGTTGAGAGATCTAATCATTGAATTGTGTTTTCAGCCGAAGGGTAAAAAGGGAAAAGTCATAAGCCAGGTTCTTGCATGAAATATGATTTTTTTGAGAAGTTTTTATCCCAATATATTTATATAATATTGTAGAGCTCTTCAACACCTTTCTGTGGATATAAAGAATGTTGAAAACAGAGTTGGGACGAAGAAGTTACGACCATTTGCAGTTATGTTGATTTTTGGGTTAGCCGCGTTCGCTGGGCGTACTAGGGCATCCCAAGTACGTTGGGTGTACACGATTAGTGCCCAAACACTATTTTTGTGGGTTGAGCCCTATTTAGGCTCCTTAACTTCCCTAAACCCACTCCATTCTCAACCTCCACCTCTTCAACACCCTCTTGTGAAATCCTAACCATAGTTTGAGCCTTGTGAGCAAAAAGACAGTGTTTTTAAGTATTTTGGAGTGTTCTTGGTGAACCTTGGAGAAGAAGGAACTCATTGAAAAAGTGTTGGTTGCATTGGAGCTTGTAGATCTAGACCTTGTTCACCTCGATTTTTTTTTTCCGGAGGTATAAAGTTTGAGTCTTGATGATGAAATTGTTAGATCTAACTAGTTTTGGGTATTATGAGCTTTTGGTCACTTTAAGTGCATCAAGTTTAGATCTTTGAAGTTTGGTCACTTTTGTAACACCCCGTTCTTTCAGTGTTTAATTACGAGTCCCTGAGATTTAAGAGGAAGGGTAATTTTGGTCCTTTTACGAGAAATGAGTTTCATCCGAGAAGGTTTCGGGCTGGTGTATGTGTTAGAAGCATTGGGCTTCTCGTCACTCTCGTACGAATGATAAGTTATTTGGGAATGCGTTTAGATTAGAGGAGTTGTGGTGTTTTGAAGTTAATCATTGTTATAGCTCCTTGTGGAATAAGAGGAAATGGTCCCATGAATGCATGGCAATTACTTTTGAAGTCTAGCTGGGTACGCCCAACGTAAAGGGGTGAAAAGTTGCGGGTGGCCGGGTGAGTACGCCCAGCGTACCAGGGAGGTACGCCCAACGTACTCTCAGAAACCCCAAACCCTATTTTAGGGTCAGCCACTATATAAGGAACATGTTGGTTCACCCCTTAGCCTCCTTATGCTCATCGTCAACCTCAGAGAAACCCTAGATTCCATTTTTGGGTGTGTTTGACCTTGGAAAGCTCTTTTTGGCAAAAGAAAGGCTTGAAGGAGAAAAGAGAAGTTGTCAAAGAAGAAGAAGAACGAGTGGAGCTTGTAGATCTGAAGAGATACCATCCTTTGGAGCTTGTTTGAGGTATAAAACTTCTTGCTTGACCTTCATATTGTGTAGATCTATTCAATTTGAAGCTTTGTCACCATTCTTGTCCCAAAAGTCCTCAAGTTGTTGCATGTAACGAATTTGTCAAGATTATCTGTCCTTTCAGACCTTTGGAGAGGTCTTGAGTGAGAAAAATGAGGTCCCAAGGGCTGTAGTTGTTCCATGTGTGAAATATATAGGTCTTAATGGATTAAGACCTTGGATTAAGAGCTTATGGATGTCCCAAGTGATAAAGTTTGAGACTTTATGGATTCTAATCATATGTGGCCTAGGGATCTGAAGTTTGGGCTTAAGAGCTTAAGCCATTAAGAGGTTAGAAGGACTTAATGAATATTGCAGTTACGCCCCGCGTAACCCCTGAGTACGCCCTGCGTAGCGGGCCAGTGCCCCGTTTTATTTTGTGAACATTGCAGTACGCCCAGTGTACCAAGGAGGGTACGCCCAGCGTACTCCTCCTGTTGGACTTTCATTTTGGGCTTTGAGTTTGGGCCGTTGGTGGACAGTTGGTTATTGGGCTAAGTCTGGGAATTTATGGATAGAGTATTTTGGGCCCAATTATTGTTATGGACATTGGTTCTAGGCCCATTTGGTGAAGTGGGCCCAATTTGGTAAATTGGGCCAATGTTGGACTTTGTATGAGATTTGGACTTTGGTCTTGGCCCGATATGTGGAAGTATGATTGACCTAATGTTTATTTTGTTATGATGGTTAGTTCGGGATTTGCGGTGAGTTGGTGGTTCGAGAGCCTGCTTCTTCAGTTCAGAGTATCGACATTCGCAAGGTGAGTTGTCCTCACTATATCGACAGGGTCTAAGGCACCAAGGCCGGCCCTTTATTGGATTGAGATTTTGATATTGTTGTTATGATATTGCTTTGATATGTTTGCATCCTGGTAGCTAGGATGGTATATGCTAGAGACCTGGTTAAGGTCGGTATCCTAGTTAGGCAATGATATGTTATGTGATCTGCTTGATCGGTTTGTGGACTATGAACTGTTATATGATCATATGTTATGTGCACATGGTTGTTTGGACTGGAGTTGGGTTGAGGCGGGTCCTGCTTTGTGTTGCAAGCCAAGATACCCAGGGCGGACCGGTTGTTCCGAAGGCACAGCGAGCGGTTCGGATAGGTTGTAGGCCCCACGAGGGCGGTCCAAACGTACCGAGGCTCGGAGAGTGGACCAGGCCGACTGAAGGCCCGATGCGGGCGGACCAGTCATACTGTAGACTCAGAGAGTGGACCAGGTGGGTTGAAGGCCCGGTGCGGACGGACCAACCACATTGCAGACTCGATATGCATGGCTGTTCTATGTTCTGTTATGTTATGTATGCTATTTATGTTATGGGCCGGAAGGCAATATGTTTTGGACCAGAAGGTCGTAGCCTGGAAGGGCGTATATGTGGTTGGTATTTTGGGGGTATCTCACTAAGCTTTCGGGCTTACAGTTGTGGTTTAAATGTTTTTCAGGTTCTTCAGGAGACCGTGGCAAGGCGAAGGCGTGATCGTACCGCTCCTCGTGTTTATGTTTATGACATGGTTCTGGGAATACTCTGATAATAAATGTATTGAAAACATTTTTGTAATAACATTATTAAAATGGATTGTTTTTGAAAAGTTTAAATTGTGTTGAAATTTTTGGTCGTTACAAGTTGGTATCAGAGCCTTGGTTTGAGTGAATTGGAGGAACATTCGTGTGAATCCAGTCTCAAATCAAGGAGAGTTTTAAAAAGAGAAATAAAAATGGTTTTTAAATTAAGTAAAAAGAGGACGCGGAGGTACGATCAGCCGGA